TTATACTAATACAGCTACATATTACGAGAAAAGGGCATACTTAAACTACCAACTACGTAATATTAATAGTAAGGGTAGATGGCAGGAACTTGAGAAATTAAAACTTGCGAAAAGTAAAAATAAAGAACTCCCTGAAAACTTGAAAAATGTAGAAGCAATTAGCGATTTTATTTCAACTATGTCTCAAAGAGATATCCCACGGGATGAAGACTTACTGCGCTTTTATGGCATGAACAGAAAAAAAAGGTATATGTGATCAATTCATTTTTTCACCAACTACTGAAAATGAAATCTTTAGCATCATAAATAGCATAAAATCAGAAGCATATGGGGTAGATGAAATCAATATAAGTATAAAAATTTGTTTTCCTTCATTTTAACGGTACTAACTCACATAATAAACGAATGCATGATGCATGGAAATGTGCAAAAATTATACCCCTACCAAAAAATAATCGACCACAAAATTTTAATGATTTACGGTCAATAAGTATTCTCCCGACATGTTCCAAAATTATAGAGAAAGTAATGGAAAATCAAATGCGCCATTTCATTAATCGTTACAATATTTTGCCACATAAACAGTCAGGTTTTAAAAAAGGTTATAGTTGTGCAACAGCATTATTAGAGATCTTAGATGATATAATTAAAGCTATAGATAAAAATGAAGCCACCATTTTGATTCTGTTGGATTATTCAAAAGCATTTGATACCATCAATCATAAAGTACTTTGTGCTATATCACATTTTTTGGGTTCAGTGATGCATTAGTGATGTTGATATCATCTTATTTAGATAATAGATTACAAAAAGTACGAATTCATGATATTTCTTCTACTTGGAGAGAAGTCAAAACAGGAGTACCCCAAGGCAGCATTTTAGGCCCACTGTTCTATCCCCTATATACTGCCACATTCATCAATAAGATGATGTCTTGTAAATATCACCTTTATGCAGATGACTCTCTATTATATTTATCTTTCTAATCTTCAGATATAGCTCAAGCAGTAACCGATATAAATTTTGATTTAAATACGATTCTAAAAGTGTCCACTGACCATATGTTGAAAATCCATCCGAACAAATCAGTAGCTATTATTTTTGGAACAGATAGCATCAGGGAAGAAGTAAAAAACTACAGCTTGAAAATGGGAAACTATGAGATACAATTCAGACCGTATTAAAAAAATTTGGGGTTGATTTTAGATCATAAACTAAGATTTCATGAACATATAACCTACAAACTTAAAATTGCTTATTCATCATTGAAACTCATATATCCCCATAGACGATATTTGGATGTAGATGTCAAGAAAATGCTATGTGATTCATTAGTTTTATGTCATTTCAACCACTGTGACCGTGTTTATCATTCATGGTTAGACATGAACGACAGGTGGCGCATACAAAAAGTTCAAAACTCTTGTATCAGGTTAATATTTGGTATCAGAAGAAGGTCCAAAATTTCACACAAATTAGCAGATTTGAAGTGGTTGAATATGTTTAATCGTAGACGTCTTCATGCACCATGCATATTCTCAAAAAATATTCAAATATAGGAATCCTCCCTACTCATATGAACATTTATATGAACAGATATCCATAACCTGAATTTGTGTAAAAAGACAGTGCTAAACATTCTTGTACATAAAAAGGAAATATTCAAACGATCTTTTTCCTATAATATCTCCTCCACAGTAAATAATCTTCATAAATGGGAAAACAATTCTTTTAATATGTCAGAAACTATTTTAAAAGTAAGTTTAAACAGCATCTGTGCAGCATTCAGAATAACTAGGTCCGCGGCGAGAATCTTTATATTACCTTCTCTTTTTTTTTTCTTTCTTCTTTTCTCTTCTTCAAGCCCTCATTTATTTACTTTTATACATTTTCGGCATTGGTGGAAGAGCAGACGCGAATGCAAATTCGCGGTCTGAACCAAAAACCATTTGCAATCGAATACAATGCGTTTTTATTTTTCTCTCTCTTGTATTTTGTTTTTTGTTATTATTTTGTATTTTGATGGGCAATAAACTTATTATTATTATTATTATCATTATATCAGAAATACGCGACAGAGTATAACTGCTCATCGTTTTGAGGTTCAACTCAGTACACCTCGAACTTCACTGTTTAAGAATTCTTTCATCTGGAGAACTGCGTTTATGTGGAATAAACTTCCTAAGAACGTTTTTCCAAATGGATTTAATCTCCAACGTTTCAAATCCAATGTGAACCGCTACTTTCGCACAGGCACCAAAGAAAATTATTCGCTTTAATAATCATGCTGGTTAACTTCCAAATTGAATTAAACTAGACTTCGAAAATTTCAAATAAAATCCCCAAAATTACAAGGGATCGGGCATAATTGAACTTTCGGAATATGTGGGGAAACGAACATCCAATATTCATTGACCATTTGACATCAAAGTACAGTTTCTGTACCAATTTCGCAGTTGATGTCACGTAAAGAATGGATGATAATCAGTCGTCTAGAAAGCATTCAGTAGCGTGGGAATCAGCAATCTTGAATTAATTTAAATGAATATTTATTTAATTCTCGGTGATATTTTGTCTATTATAACCTCAATTGAGCCATACCATGATGAAAGTAATGATGAATTTCATTAAACTGATTCTTGATGTAATGTAGAGATAGTTGTATTCTTCACATCTGTATTCAATTCACAGCTTTATTTCACATACAGCGGTATTTCACCTCACAGATGTATGCCACCATACAGCAGTATGCCACCAAACAGTCATATACATACAGCTGTATGCCACCATGCATCTCTTATCCACCATAACTGTATTCCTCCACAACCACAACTGATTTCACCATAGGTGAACTCTTTTACACCATAAAGATTTATTGCACCATATTGCTGTATTGCACCTCATAGCATTACTTCACCCTACATCTATATTTCACCGTAGAGGTTTATTCCGCCATAACTGTATTCCACCATAACTCTATTCCACCATTCAGCTGTATTACACCACAACTGTATCAAACCATATCTGCCATAACTGCTACAAACAGCTATGATGGAATACAAAGACAGCTGGTGTTTCAAGCAATGACAGCCTGATGTTGAAAACAACACAGCAAATGTCTTTTTCAAGGTTGAGTGAATGTACTCGGGGCATTGATGAACCCGAGAGTCACAACAAGCCTGGTCTGGGAATGCCATGAAAAACTTGAGAAACTGGCGGACTGAATTATTTCAAGTATATATTGGATACCTGAATGTTCAAGAATCACAGGCAACGAAAAATCAGATAAGTGTGCTAGACACAGATCGCTAGATCCTTATAATGGCCCTGAACCAACTGTAGGGTACCATAACCTATGGCAAGAGACTAAACAGGGTGAAACTCTAGAAACTGCATCGATCGATTGTTATGAAGAATCTGAAAATTTGACAATATACAGAGGTGGATGGGGGCAACTCGGCTAAAACATTTTCAAAATGGCGGCACTTCCTGTTATAACGTAAATAGCTGTCAACTTCGTTATTTCAAATAAAACACCCCACATATTATTATATTTCTGAATTCTACATCTGAATCTAAATACTTTTTGTAAATAATGTCCTTCATCTAAGTCTAACCGTTTTTGACATATTTGAGTTTTTATGTCAAAAATGATTTTTGCAGACCCTACAATAATAATCAATTTTTCCTATAAGGAAACCTTTATCATTATATTTTGGTCAGGTTCCTTATAGATGGGAACCGAATTTAATGGACTATATATGAAATTTCGATAATTATTAATACAAGGTAGTCAAAAAAGAAGCACATAAAAGAAATTCAATGAACCGTCTAAAGTTACTTTTTTTAAATGGAAACCTCCCCATTTGTATGATTTAATCGTATTCAGAATTTAAAATAAGGGTAACTTTGTATAAAGATACCTATTTCTATCAACAGACTACTTACTATACGGTTTCTAAATTCTGTCAATTGGCCATGACGGCGTGACGTTAGAAAACAATCAATTAATACAATAATGTCATTATTTGTTATTTGCAAATTGTCAATAGTAAATCATGCAGAGGTGATTAAATCACAAAAACGAAGATTGTCCCGATATTTTCGCATTTATGACGACGTATCTCTGTAGTTGTTCGTAAAATAATTTTTTGCTGCGAACTGATTTATTTTGGGCAAAAAAACCCATTTAGAATGAAACAGGCTATCGGAAATAAATTTTGAAATGGTAAACAAATAATAAGACAAAAAGTTACATTGGAAATAAATTTTAGGGGTTGCGTTTTCCACCCCTCACAACCATGGGGTGAACCAAATAAATTACTGGCTAAGTGTCTTTTTGGTAGTACAAAACATCAGGTTAATTTCAATATTGTAACTTTTTCAGTGCTTGTGAAAAAAATTGTTATACAAATTTTATGTACCCCCTTTATCTTAACAAGGGATGATCCAATGAAGTTTCTTTATATGAAAGATCCTATATTTTTTTCGATGAGGAATCGCCTCCTAAAATGGTTTACACTTATTCAGTTACACCCTGTATATTGTACGCACCTAGTTATGATCTTGGGTATTTTCTTGCATTACTATTTTCAGACTACCGTGCCAATGGTTTTTTTCATAAATTATTTTCTATGTTTTAGGTTTCATAGTTGATTTCGTATCTGGACCCGTTTCCTCTGGATTCACATCAGCTGTAGCTTTAATAATTGTGACTTCTCAAGTGAAAGATATTTTAGGCATTCATGTAACGGGCGATACTTTTGTAACTACTTGGGAAAGCATCATATCGGAAATACACAATACACAGTTATGGGACACTGTAATAGGAGTTTCGTGTATTGTTTTACTGATGATAATGAGGGTGAGCAAAACCAATATTCTTATTGAATTTTGTTTTCTAATGAAGAATACTTTGGAAATGTTTCAAAAGTATATATGAGCATTAAATGTTTTAGAGAGATAAATTTATGCCGATTATTACTTTAAAGGTGAGCATCCACGATGAAACTAAAATCTCATGAAAATTTTATTTCACGAAACATTTGTTTCATGGTGCGTATTCACGAGGAGATCAAAATTTCTCCACTCGCGATTGTTTGAAATTTTTAATTCATGAGAGACGAAGTACAGTAATCTGCTGTTTTCACGGTGACTTAGTTGGTTCGTTGTTTGTGCATTGTGATGGCTACAAAAAAAGATAGAAGAAAAGCTGCAGCTTGTTATTACTTATTAGCTTCGCAAACAAAGAAATCTCACAAAATTTGGGTACGCGATTGGATTAAACAAAGAGAAAACCACAATTTAATTAATAATCTATTGGAAAAATTAGAACAAGAGGATGAGGAATGTTACAATAATTTTCTCAGGATGTCTGCTGCTGACTTTCAGTATTTACTTAGCAAAATAAAGCCTGAAATAGAAAAACAGAATACACTCATGCGAAATTCAGTTCCAGCAGCTGAGGGACTAGCACTAACGCTTCGATTTCTAGCAACAGGTAAATACTTCAAAATTTTGAAGACTTGACTTCATTTAAATTTTTTTTTGTTTTTTTTTTTTAGGAGATAGCTACCACTCGCTTATGTATTTGTTTCGAATACCAGTATGTACTATATCGAGAATAATACCTGAAGTGTGCTCGGCAATTTATAAAATTTCAAAAGAAGAATATCTACAGGTAAGTTCCATAATTCGTTTATTTCATAAAGTGGTATTAACAGATTAAAAAATGTAGATCCACAATTTTCATCGTAGTTTGTAATATTCTCCATGCCGTTATTCTCACCATCAACAGTGTCTTCAGTTAAATCATTAACCGCCCATAGTGTCAATACCGGCAATGGAGAACCAATTTCACAACTAGTTCGAGTGGACAGCTGTGACTCCAAAGAATTATTATCAAGCAAAATATCTGAATTTTTATTAACGGATATTTGCGATTGAGACAAAGCACCATTTTCTAGTAGTCTGGACTCATACTTGTCATTCATGTCTAAAATAAGTCGCTGAATTTCTCGTTTTGCATATCCTTGCAAATCAGGGGCTTTTAAGTGCATGTTACGCAATTCATCCGCCACATAATCTCCAAATATTTTGAAAGAATCTGCTATCTTCGACATAACTCCAACACATCGGTCCAGTAAGGCTTGTTGGTCATTTTTCTTGTTCTTTTTTTTAACCTTGACGGGGCTTGAGTTATGTCCTGCGACGTAAATGATGATGGTGTGAAATCACGTGATGTAGATGGCATTGGAGTGTTGCAACGCGAAGTATCTGTAGAGTCTTTTGAATGATTAGTTCCTTGATCTTCTGATAAATAACTCGATTCATTATCAGTCATATCTTCTTCGTTGATCTAAAAAAATATTGTGTCAGAAACATAAATCATTATTATAGCTGTTTATATTTTTATTAAGCATTTCTGCATTTTGTTTAACGTAGTTTTTTCTCATTTCCAGACACCAACCACTGAAGATGAATGGCTAAATATTTCACAGCAATTTAATGAGAAATGGAACTTTCCGAACTGCTTAGGTACCCTTGATGGTAAACGCTTACATATTAAAGCACCTAAACATAGTGGAAGCCTCTTTTATAATTATAAAGGCATGCATAGTATTGTTTTGATGGCACTGGCTGACGCAGATTATAAATTTTTATACATTAATATAGGAAGTATGGGGCGAATTTCTGATGGAGGAGTTTTTAACACGTGCTCCTTGACAACAAAACTTGAAAATAATAGTTTAAATATTCCAAAACCTAGGCCACTCGTAGGACGGAATAAGGCCATTCCATTTGTTATCGTAGCAGATGATGCTTTTGCTATGAAACCATATATTATGAAACCTTACGCGTTTAGAAACTTGCATGATGGACAAAGGGTGTTTAACTACCGACTGTCTCGTGCAAGACGAATAATTGAAAATTGTTTTGGCATTGCTTCAGCTAGGTTCCGTGTTTTAAGAAAGCTAATTGAATTAGAACCAGAAAAAGTGTCCATTATAGTGTCGGCAATATGCATTTTACATAATTTTTTAACGACCCGTTCTCGGAAGCTTTACGATCCTAATGGCACGTTTGATGTTGAAGATTACGAAAATGGTACTGTTCAACCTGGTGAATGGCGACCACACTCAAGCCTTAAGTCACTGCAAGTTAATCGAAATATTCCAGGAAATCTCTATACCAGAGAAGTACGAGAAGAATTAACTAAGTACTTTCAAGAGGAAGGTGAAGTTCCGTGGCAATATAAATATATATATAAACTACTATGTTTGGTTCCTTTGCACAAGCATAGGGATCGGGCTGCGATTCTCTAGGGTTTAAGCAATGTATACATAAATAATAATAAAAATATACTTACCAATGAGTCTATTGTTGTTTCATTTCAACCACTTGTTGACAAGTCTATGAATTTTAGAGCTTCATTAAACTCCCATTTTGTCACAAAGTTATCCCCTGTAGCCTGACCGCTTTTAGTTTTTTTCTTCTTTCTATTGATACTTTGGAATTGGCATCGAAGACTATGGATTTTATCATTTACTTCTTGAACGGATATGCCCATAACTTCCGATATAGCATCAATGGAGGTTTTTCTAGCCATACGATTTTCATACTGCTCTAAAGAGCAATCCCATAAATTGAAATGGGATTCGGAAAGTTCTATTAATTTTAGTGTCATTTGTCGTAACCAATTGACACTAGCTTTTCTTTTCTTACTTTTTTTCTCTACTTCACTCATTGTTCCAATTAAAAAAGTAAGCGACGAACGTTATTTTTTTATGTAAACACACTAGCAACTAGCGTAAACCGATTTTGTTTCACGAAGAACGCCAAAACTCATGTGCAGTAAGTGAAACAAATATTTCACATGAAACAAGACGCATATCGCGTATACAATTTAAAAGTTGCCCATGAAACAAATGTCTCGTGAAATATTGTGTCATGAAATTTTTAACAATATTTCGCGTAATTTGATAGTGTTTCCACTGTGAAACATGAAAGTTTTAACTCATGACACAAATTTCATGATAAACTTTCATCGTGGATGTTCACCTTAATATCAGAATATATTTCAGAACAATTTCAAAAAGAGTATTCTCGTAATTAGGTATCACATTATCGTACTCTTCATCATTTATATAATTCATATATATCACATATTATGAATATTATGAATTTATTATGAATTTTGAATTCATGGATATTTAGGTTTTCCCAGATGTCCATACGGTTTCTTTTAAAGGAAAGTCATAATTTACTTATCGAGGAACAAATACAAATCATAACACAACAAGACCTAACATTCAATATACTACACAATACAATACACATTCCTAGAAACAGTGAACCTAGAGAACATCCAGCACAAAGGATATTACCTGATGTAACTCAAATACAGGCAAATTTAAAGAAACATCCGGATGACAGGAGAGGACAAATACCTGAACTGAGTCGTTCTAACCATATAAAAGTACAAACAAGAAAATAGAACGTTCAGTTTGAGCAGAGCCATGAAGTTGATAGCACAGCCGGCTATCGAGAGCGCTCGCAGATAATAAGTAGAAGTTATAAAAGCTTCAAATCCTTTTTTGTGAACAAATGTTAATATTAAAATACTGAAAATAAAGGAAAATTTGTTGCATCAAACTACTCAGTTTGAGTAGAGCCTTGAAGATGATAGCACGACCAGCTATCGAAAGCGCTCGCATATAATGAATAGGAGTTATAAAGCTTCGAATCCTTATTTATTTAAAATAATTATGTGATTCTAGTTAACATTACAACTAGCATATGCCTAGAGTCGAACAAATATCAATTTTGAAATAAATACTCGTAAATCCGTAGTTTTGCTTCTTTTAATAGATTCATTCCGCCATATCCAAAAGTCTGATTCACATTTTATTTAAACAAATATTTTTTGAATATATATTGAAACAAAAAGTTATTGTCAGGAGATCAACTAGTCATAATGATCTCCTGAGGACGCTAACTTGGTTAGCAAAACGCGGATCAAGGGTTTTACAAAAACCGCGACACGCGTTTCGCTATACAATAGCTTCTTCAAGCATGACTAAAGCTCTTTCTAAATTACACCTTATATACTATAACCTAGTACCTATTCGTCTACCTAAGTAATAAATCTACCTAAAAAAATATACCTGAAAAAGTCAGGTATCAATACATTTTTCGAAAGTCTACCTGTAAATATACCTTACTATTATTACCTGCGTGTGAACAAATTCAATAAAGGCGAATTATTCAATTCAGTTTGATCGTTCATAAGATGGTGACAGTTTTTGAATTTGTTTATTTCCAT